TGCTACACTACTATTAAGTAAAGATATTAAAAAGAGTATAGGAGAAGCTACTAAAAAAGAGATTAAGGACTATTAGGAGCGCGTTAGATTAATCCTTTATACCTTAATTATAGTGCGCCCTAATATTGCCTATACAGCCTCCTAGCTCTCCTAATACATTACTAACCTATCTAAACAACACTTTAATGCAGTTAATTAAGTGATTGTCTATCTATACTAAACTTAATACTAATTAATCTAATATAGGAATAGGGATCCTAATAAGCTTATAATATGCAGTAATACGTCATTTGCTAATAATATTAATACTTAGTGATTATTACATGGATACCTAATCACGCTCTTTAGAGGACCTATTATTTAGAAGGCAGCTTAACAAGCAACTATTACTACTTTAACTACTAAGGTAGAGCTCCTTGCGCTTAAGCAAGTAAGTAAAGAAGTAATAGCGTTAAAACGCTTTTTAACTAAAATACACCTTACTTTAGATACTACCTAGATAATTAATTATAATAATTAATAAACTATTAGGTTTGTAGTAGGCAATAATAAAAGGATTACTACTAAGCTGCGCTATATAGATATTTAAAATATATAGCTTAGATAAGAGTATATAAAGGGATCTTTCTATATTACCTACCTACCTACTAGTAATATACTAGCTAATAGGCTTACTAAAAACCTAACTATATAATAATTTATAAGGTTTAGGGAGTACCTAAAGTTATATAATAGTAGAGCATAGATTATATAATATTAATTAAAGTAAGGTAGTATATAAGATCTATTAATATATAATATAAGAATAACTAACTATAGCCTACCTCTCTATTATTAACTAGGTAGCTTCCCTAAGGAGCTCTATTACACGCGTAAAGCGTGCCTTAGAGTCTATAGGGAGCTACCTAGGTTACCCTATCCTAGGATCTATAGGGGGAACCTTAGAGAAGCTAGAGTCCTTATCTTCTAATAAGGAGCTCTAGGTGCCCTTAGCTATAGTAGTAGCCTTACGCGTAAGCTTAGTAGTAGTAGCAGCAGCTTTTACTAGCTCCTACTATTTAGCCTTGCTCTCCTTAAGGAGCACTAAGACCCTCTACTTCTTATCCTTAAGAAGGTCTTAGCTCTTACCTACCTGCTTCCTTGCTAGGAAGGACAGCGTAGAATATTAGGCAAGCTTAGGGCTATTAGTTTATTAGTATAGATCTTGCTAAAGTATTATAAAGGAAAAATTCTTATATAGATTATATATATAGGGATATAGCTATACCTAGAGAAGTACTACTAGCACTAAGTCCCTCTACTAGAAGAGTTATAGCACTTACTATTAGACTTATTAAAGAGCGCTAAGCGTAGATAATTTAGATAAGTTTTAGTATAATAAATACTAGGCTCTCTATAATAGGAGGATCTTAGGGTCTCCTTAGGAGCTAGAGAGGGAGTAGGAGCAGGAGCAGGGATAGGGGGCAGGGTCTAGGGAGGAGCAGGAGCTAGAGTTAGAGCTAGAGTAGTAGGAGCTAGAGTAGGAGCGCCTTTCCTTAGCTTTATAATCTTAGCTATAGTAGCAGTAGCTACGCACTTAGCTGCTACACACTCTATAATAGCCTTACGCTTAGTAGTAGCACGCTCTTCTTTAGTAGTAGTAGCTTTAGTAACTATAGCTTTAGCTATATAGGAGGTAATAAGGGTAGCATAGGTAGAGTAAGCGCAAGTAGTAGGTTTTAACTTTAACTAAGATATAGGTTAGTAGGGATATAGGTATAGTTTAGATCTTTAGGGTTATATAATCTTATAACTTAAGCTATAGTAAAGATTATAGTTAGGTAGATAGAGTTATAGAGCTTTATCTAGATAATATCTACGCGCGTAAGCGTAGGCTAAATAAGAAAGGCGCGCTAGTTAGTATCTAAAGGGTAAGCTAATTTAACCCTTTAGATATATAACGCTCTAATTAGCTATACTACCTACTAACTATAGGCGTAACTATAATAATAGAAGATCTACCTATACCTAGGGGGTGTGTTGCAGGAGGGATATTAACTAGATTACAGAGTATCTTAATCTAATTAATCCTAATTAATACCCCTATATAACCTACTATCTAATTAACTACTAGCTTACTACTAAGTGCCTAATAAAAAGCAGGAGCTCTAGTAAGGAAGGTTTACTAATTATTTACCTTCTAGTAAGGGTAGCTAAAGCTCTATATATATAAGTCCAATCGTAGTAGATATAATCTAATAATCCATCTCCTAAATTATTCCTAACCTTAGTAATCTAAAATTTAATAATATCCTATTTAGCTATATATTATCTATTAACTACTATCTATTACTATTATTCTTCTTACTATTTATTATTATATCTTATTTAGAACTATCCTAGAACCTTTAAGGTTCCTAGGACACTACCCTTAGGAAACCTCTTTATTCTATATCTATCTCTCTATTAGAACCTAGTTTAGACTCTATATTAGCTAAGATAGCGCCTAGACTACCTTTCTTAGCTAGCTTTTAGATAACTAGTGCAGTAGGTGCAGGAGTAGGTACAGGAGCAGGTGTAGGAGCTAGAACTAATTTAGACGCCTTCTTATTAAGCGCCTTTATCTTAGCCTATACTATAAAGGTTACCTCCTAATTTAGTACTATTTCCTCTTTAAGTTTATTAATAGCCCTTATTAAGCCCCTAACTACTAAGACTATCTTATAAATACTATTCTAAAGCTAATATAAATTAGATATAGCATTATAATATATAGCTATAAGGATCTTAGTAGCTTCTATACCCTTAGTCTAAGTATTAGTAATAGTAACGCACTTAGTAAGATTTTAGGTAGCTTCTTAAATAGTAGCCTTAAACTATTTAATATCCTTCTAATAAGTAACTATAGTATCCTTATCCTTATCCCCTTTAGTAGGGTTTACTACTAGGCTATAGTACTTATCTAGAGCACCCCTAAGGGTAGAGTACTCTAGGCTAATAAAAGAAGGAATCTACTAGAATTAGTAAAGGAACCCTATTAGACTTAGATACTTACTAGATTATAATACTTATTCTAGGAGATATAGTACTAGCACTTTTTAGAATTCTTTAACTTAAAATTAAAATTATTAAACTTGCCCCTAGCTAGAGCCCTAACTGCCCTTATATAGAGAGCGCGATAAGTAATAGGGAGAACTCCTAGTAGTACTAGTACTAGTATAGCTAAAGGTTCTAATTTAGATTAGTAACTACTTAATTATATAGATTAAATACTTACTAGATTTTAGATAGATTAGGTTAAATAATTAAAAAATTAGGGATATAGGAATAAGAAAGTTAGTAGGTAGAGGGCTAGTTATAGGTAGGCTAAGGATAGCGGTCTATACCCTAGGAACAAGAAGTAAAGGTAAAGGTAGAAGTAAAGGTAGATTTATTTCACAAGAGCTTTTCTTTAATAAGGGATCTAAACCTAATCCTAAGGATAGGGACTATCCTTTCTCTATAGGAGGGGGTAGTATAATAATAAGGTAGAATTGCCTACCTATTATTCTATACTAAGTTAGGCCTAATAAAGGCCTAACTTACTAATATATATAGAGAATAGCTTGCCTATAGTTAGGATAGGTATGTTCTTCTTATCCTTTTATATAAGACCTATAGGTGTAGGAATCTTATCCTTTTCTATACTAACGCGCACTTCTATATGCCCTTAAGTTATATAGGATACCTTTTGGATGCCCTACCTACCTAAGTTGTTATATAACTTGGCATAGAATAATAGGTAAGTAATTCTGCCTTATTATTATATACAACGCTCTAATTAGCTACACTACCTACTAACTACGCCTGCGCAACTATAACTAAAGATCTACCTACACCTAGGGGGTGTGTTATAGGAGAGATAATAACTAGATTATAGAGTATCTTAATCCTAATTAATCCTAATTAATCCTAGTTAATACCTATGTATAACCTACTATCTAATTAACTGCTAGCTTAGTGCTAAGTGCCTAATAAAAGAAGGAGCTCTAGTAAGGAAGGTTTACTAATTATACACCTTCTAGTAAGGGTAGCTAAAGCTCTATATATATAAGTCTAATTGTAGTAGAGATAATCTAATAATCTATCTCTTAAATTATTCCTTACCTTAGTAATCTAAATTTCCATAAAGGAGAAATTTACCTTAGTGCTATTATATAGCAAGCTAACTAGAAAAGGTTTATAATATAAGGTAGAGGGGGGTAGAGGTAGTAGGTTATTAAAACTAGTAGGCTTAGAGGAAGGTTAGGATATAATTATACATTTCCTTATTCTACTAATATAGTATAGCTATTATAGTAAAGTCTTAAGCCTATTATTCTATTAATCCTTAGACCTACTATATTAGCCTTTCTACTATATTAGGTTACACCTAACTATTCTAAATATCTAGTACGTCTATCTCTATTACTATTATAGTATTATTAAAAGAAGATACTAAAATATTATAGACTAGCCTTAAGGGAGAATATAATAAGCTTTAATAATAGTATATAGTATCTTAAAGGAGAGATAAGCCCTCTATGCCTTTGTATAGGTGTGTAGCGTGTTTGCTTAGTAGTAGTGTTAGACTCTATCTATCTTCTGTTAGGCCTAGGCTTAGGCTTATGCCTAAGCCCTTTACAACTAGCTTATGCTAGATAGATTATATAATTATTCGGAGTATAAATACGTATAAGAATTAATATATATAGTATTAATTTATTTAATATTTAATTAACACCTATCATCCTAATCTACTACTAAACCTCTAACTCCTACTGTGACGTCTTACAGATTTAGCTTGTAAAAAGTAGTTAAATCGCACTACTAACATCCTAAAGATGTACATGCACCAAGTTCTTGATCTTCTATTATTGCTTAAGTATGCGTGTTTATTAAGCAATGTATCTAACGGATACATCCCTTCTGTAATGCACGACCACCAGATTGAGCAGCACATGTAATGCGTTTGGTCCTACACGTCGTACCCTAGCCTCACCATGCCATCACCCGTACACAGCACACGGAGTCCAATCGCACATGTCAGTAGCTCAAGCCATTTGAGCTTTGGAGTCGGTGGCTTGCGTTGTGCTGGTACGAATAGACGGTAGACGGGTAGTCTTTGCGGTGGGGTGCTGGCAGTGCGACCATGTTTCCAAAGTTCTGGGACACGGAGCATACTGAGAAGCATAAACATAGGGCATATGCCGGACCACACTCTTGCCCAGACAGCCATCTCAAGCTTTCACATCGATTTGGTTCAGAGACCCTCGTAAGCAGGCGAGAAAAACTGTTGATTATGCGCCCTCACAGCCTCCTGGTCACCCTCTCTCATTTTTCCCTGTCTCTGGCTCTACCCTCTGCACACTCGGCAGAAACGCTGCATAACACCCTCTCTTACAAAGCCACCTCTGTACCGGTAACATTCAGCCTCTCCAGCCTCTTCGCCTATCTCCTAGTCGCATCCTCATCTCCCTCCAAGGACCTGCAGCAAAAGTCTTGGATAAGGTTCCTCATTACCGACGGTTCCTTCAGTACCCTATGCTCCGCCTCTGCAGGTCCCAACGCGACACTATCATCGGATTCCAATTATTATGCATGTGACGAAAAGACTGGTTATGCAGACGTGTTTTTTGCGTTTTTGGTGGGGGAAGAGTTGCGCCGGTTGACAGTCAAGAAGATGCGGGATAGTAACGGGTGAGCTTTTTTCCCTTCAGTTCCTGTCTTGTCGTAGTCGGTACTCGTTCTAGAGTATGGTGAAACGATAGGATACGGTCGCAGAGTTTCTGACGTATGTATAGGTGTTATAGCACATGGTTGACGGGATTTGCGGAGCAAGGCACGTATTGGGATGAAGGTGATGGGGGCAATTTGACGGCGGGAAAGTGGGGAAAGATGTATGGAAGGAGTACAAAGTGGAGATTTGAGATTATCAGGGTGATTGGGCGAATGTGACTGCGCTGAAGCTCTCGCATTCCATGGACAGGGATGGTGTTGGTAAGCTGGAAACCTCGACGAAGCGAGAGATGGACAGGCACTGTAGACCATTAGACTCCAAACGAAATTCAGCTCAACTGTTTGTAATCATTAATTAAATTGTCAGGTGGCCCAAGTGTATCTTAATCTCTGTACACACAGCTGGTAGCTGCTCCCAAAAAAAGATCCGTACTCCAAGGACCCAGGAAACGTGAACCGACGAGATGGGGAGATCAACACGCGCGCAATATTGAGAGATTTGAACATGCCACGCCCGAATTGTAGTCGATAGCTGTTGCCTATTTGAGTTGGGCCGGCTGGCAGAAAACCAAGGACTGTCTTAGCAGTTGCAAGCTCCCGGTCCCTGTGTTTGATTTGCCTCGGGCCTTAGGTTGACGCCCTGTCGTTGCTGACCAGGTCGTAGGTTTCTTGGGCCGGATTGGTCGATGGGGAGTTTCTTGGCAATGGCGGTGAATAGTTCGCGTACATTCTCGCTAGTCTTCGCTGACGTTTCGAAGAAGAGCAGGCCAGCCTCACGGGCATACTGCTCAGCGTCTGCGGTGGTGATGGCGCGCTTGTCTGGTGACTCGGTGACCAGGTCGAGCTTGTTACCGGCGAGGGCGATGATGATGTTCTCATTGGCTTGGCGCTGAAGCTCCTTGACCCATGCCTTTGCCTTGTCTAGGGAAGCCTATGGCGGTTAGTCCTGCGTGTGCAAGATAGGTGGAGGGAATGAAGGATGGGGGGATGGCTAGCGTACTGCTTGTGTGATATCGTAGACGACGACGGCGCAGTTTGCGTTGCGGTAGTACATGGGCGCCAGTGACTTGTAGCGCTCCTGGCCTGCTGTGTCCCAGATCTCAAACTTAACCGTTGTGTTCTCGTCGAGGGCGATGGTCTGGGTGAGGAAGGCGGCACCGATGGTTGATTCCCGGTAGTCGTCGAATTGATCCTGAAGACGGTTAGCTCCAGCACGAGAGAGGTTTTGTTTTGGGTGGTGATGTTATGGACAGCACATGCCTTGACGAAGCGCAGTACGAGCGAGGACTGGGGACTTGTTAGCGACGGACACGGACATGGCTGGCTATGGCTGCCTGGCTGCCTAGATAGCTCTTATTGTATATTGTAGCAGTAGTACCTTTCCTACGGCGGATTCACCTGTGCACTCGTTAGCCGGCAGGCACAGACTGGCTTTCTTTGCAGTGAGCCAACATGGCACGCACCAAGCAACACCAACTTGAACTGGGCAAATCGTGAGGCGCCTGGCCGCTGGCCTTGGTGCATCTTGTTGGACATGGCGGGTGACGGGTAATGACGCGGTATGGGCGGTGTTGGAGGCCGGATGGGGGAAATGGCCGGCGACTGCGACAAGGGACAAGAGGAAGTGGGGGTTGCCGGCCTTGTGGAAGGGGGATGAAGGAACGGGGGACTTGAGGGGGGAGGAGAGAATCAAAGGGAAAGGGGTGGGGTGGGTGTATTGCTGGCGGTAGAGTATGGTGGCGAGTGTGTCGCAAAGGGCGATGAATGAGGTGTCAAGCTTGGTTGGTGTTTGGTGTGTTCTGGGTCTGGTCTGGTCTGGTGTGTCGTGACGAGAGACGAGGTGCAGGTGCTTCAGGTGCTTTGGCCGGTGCTCCCAACCCCCGGCCATCATTCTCTCTCTCTCTCCTCTCTCTCTCTCTCTCTCCCTCTCCCAAGTTCCCGTCTCCCCGGGCCCCGCCCCCCAGCACCTGGCCCGGCCTAACTTTGCGCCGTCGCCGCCATGACGAAAGCGTCGGGTGGCCAGTTAGGCTAGGTACTAGTTCACGTCAGCTCGTTCACCACGTCTGACATAGTTTCACGTACGGTACCTACATCCATCCTGTCCTTCATACTGCGTCGTCGCTACCTACTCTATCCTAATCTCCCCACAGACTTCCAGACTAGGCTCTCTCAACCGTCCAATCCCACCAATTGACCACCTTCATGGCCCTCGCCTCGGCCGCCCTATAACACAACAAGATAAGAAGAAGAAGAAGAAGAAGAAGAAGAAGAAGAAGAAGAAGAAGAAGAGAGAAATAGAAAACCGATAGCCAACGCGCTGGCCACAACAACTGAGAACAACCCTCACACCCTTCCTCCCCCCATCCCTCGTTGGACTGTCCCACTCAGCATCATGAGTGCAGCACTCCCCTACCGCGACATCAACGTGCACTCGTCGCCATCGCACTATGCCTTCTCCTCGCCCTCGTCCCCCACCGCTCCCACTCTTGTCGTCGACCGGCCGTCGGGCGACATGCGGCTGCACGACGGAAAGCTGCTGGGCTCCAAGCGCGTATCCAGCATCGCAGGCATTCTCGGCATCATCAAGCTGCGCCTAGGTACCCATCACTCGTCGCTGCTCCCCAGGGCCCGCCAACTCTACTAATCCATGCCGTACCCAATGAACAGACAAGTACATCATCGTCATCACAAAGGCCCAGCCCATGGGTCGCATCAAGGGCCACATGATCTACAAGGTCGTTGCGACCGAGTTCCTGCCCCTCCGTGAACGCCCCCTGCACGACGTCGACGAGGACAACTACCTCTCCTTGCTCCGATCGCTCATCAAGACCTCCCCGCTCTACTTCTCCTACTCCTTCGACATCACCAACACCTTCCAGCGCCAAGCTCACCTCGACCCCACCACCCCCCTGTGGAAACGCGCCGACGACCGCTTCTACTGGAATCGCTTCGTCTCCAGCGACCTCATCGACTTTCGTGGGGGACTCAGCGGGGGCTATGGGCGGCACACAGCTGGGCAGCAACCCAGTGCAGACCCCTACATTTTGCCTGTCATGTACGGCATGCTGGAAATCAAGAACACGTCCATCAAGGGTACCCCACTTACCTTTATCCTCATCACCCGCCGATCACGGCTCAAGGCAGGCACGAGATACTTTTCACGCGGCATCGACGAGAACGGCAACGTGTCCAATTTCAACGAGACGGAGCAGGCCATCATCCTCAACGACAACGCGTCAGGAGGTCCCGGCGGATTTGGTTCCAACCAAAACGCTACCAAGGGTAGCGCCGGCAAGGAGACGCAGGTTTTGTCCTATGTGCAGACGCGAGGAAGCGTGCCCGTCTACTGGGCCGAGATCAACACGCTCAAGTACACGCCCAAGCTCCAGGTCCGCGGCGTCGAAAATGCTCTGCCAGCGGCCAAGAAGCATTTCGCTGAGCAGATTCGCTTGTATGGAGACAATTGGCTAGTCAACTTGGTCAACCAAAAAGGTCGCGAGCAACGAGTCAAGGAGGCCTATGAAGAGATGGTTAACCTGTTGCAATCTTCACCCATGGAGAATGTAGAGGGAGATCGCATCACAGACGAGAAGTTTCGCGTCATTGACCCAGCCAACGCTCAGACAGTCTATGACCGGATCCACTACGTATACTTTGACTTCCACAGCGAAACCAAAGGACTGCGCTGGGATCGTGCAAAGCTGTTGATGGATCAACTGGAGCCACATGTACTCAAACACGGTTACTTCCGTGCGGTTGATATGCCAGGTGACTCTGGCCAGGTGGAAGTGAGACGCCATCAGACTGCGGTCGTACGCACAAACTGTATGGACTGTCTGGACCGCACCAATGTTGTGCAGAGCATGCTCGGGCGATTTATCCTCTCGAGGATGCTTATTGATCTAGGTCTTATGCGAGAAGGCGACAGCGCGGAGGAAGATGAGGCGTTCGAGTTCTTGTTTCGCAACGTCTGGGCTGACAATGCCGATGTCGTTTCCAAGTCCTATTCTGGTACGGGGGCGCTCAAGACAGACTTTACCCGTCTCGGTATCCGCACCAAGAAAGGTGCACTGCAAGATTTGACCAATTCCATTACCCGATACCGTCTCAACAACTTCAGTGATGGTCCGCGACAAGATGCCTTTGATCTTTTCCTAGGCACTTATCTACCAAGCGACTCTGGCATTGGGGGCCAGTTACTTTTCGCTGACCGCCGGCCTCTGTTTATCCAGGCAATACCCTACATACTCACCGCAAGCCTCTTCTTCATTCTCGTCGGCAGTCTGACACGCCGTGCGCCCGACGCCGCCGTCTGGCCCTTGCGATTGCTGTTGCTCATCTCCCTTTTCACCATGGGCGTGTGCTTTCACTTTATATGGAGCCATGGTACTCTCTACGTAAGTGGCAACCTAACTATTCAGACAAGACATGGGTTGACTAAGACGTGATCGCAGGTCAACTGGCCTAGGCTCAATCGCCAACCTGCTCAGATCGAAGCGTTCCAGGAAACACTATCCAAGGTCTCGCACAACTCGGTTGTGGGGCCTTTGATGGGAACCAAGCACGAGCGGGGCAAGAGTGATGCGAGACTCCTCGGATTGGAGGAAGGCAAGAAAAGGCTTGAATAGAGAGGCAGCGTCGAGGGCACGGCGCCGATCGGGGTGGATAGAAGAAAGACCCATATTTTGGTGCAGTTCGCATATAAGGGAGGGAGGGAGTGGCATTTGCGAATCCGGTAGACACGGCATATTGTAATTATAGTTTGAATAGACGGGTACATGGAAGTTTAGGGTGTTCGTAATATCTGCTGCGCTTGTCATTCATCCTGATCGTCTTGGTGTTTTGTGCATGCACGCATGTATGTATGCTGGGTGAGGGATAGAGCAGAAGAAAGCACGACACTTGTTTGGAGTAGTAAGTACAATGCATTTTCTAGTGCACCGTGTTGCAGAGTGTAGTCGAGGGACCAACGTAGAGGAACATTGAGTACGTACCTAGCTAATCGTTACCACGCAACCTACAATGTAGGCTATATTCGAGGCGGGCGCTATCGGAATCCCGGCTTGGCACCTTGCCCTGACGTTGGTGTTCCAGCTGTTGCTGTCTTCCCAGAATCTTCAAAGTTCAAAGCTTGCCGACAAGTCATCCCACCAACCCGCCCTCCATTTCCCCTCCCCCCCCCCCTATCTCGCCATCTGGAGGCAGCCCACGATGCTGCGCGTCTCCCTTTTCCGGGCTGGCCCAGCTGCCAGGCCATTGGTCCGCGCCACCGCCGTCGTCCGTCCGCAATGGCACCCAGCCCACCAGCAACGCTTCTATGCCAACGATAAAAAGGCGGGCGAGGGCGAGACGGCGGTTCCGAACCCTGCACCGGCCGTCACGCCTTCGCTGAGTCCCTCGAATGCTTCACCTGTACAAGACGCCACGATTGTCGCCTCGGATATGCCCAAGCCACCGCCAGCGCCCACGCACGTAGCCCCCGGCGCATCACGCGACGCTCCCGCCATCCAGCCTGCAACAACACCGCCGACGGGGCCTGGTTTAGCAAGTGTGGCGCCTGATCCGATCAAGCCCAAAAAGAAGAGGAAGATATTCCGCAAGCTCCTACTGTGGCTGACGATACTGTCCGGCCTGGGCTACGCGGGCGGTGTTTGGTATTCGCTGGTGTCGGACAACTTCCACGACTTCTTCACCGAGTATGTGCCGTTTGGTGAGGATGCGGTTGCCTACTTCGAGGAGCGCGAGTTCCGCCGGAGGTTTCCGGGCCGCGCTGGCCAACCACGACTGCACCCCCAGATCTCGGGCGAGAACAAGGTGACCATTCCGGGCAAGAGCGGACTGACGGCGCGCGTGGCCCAGGACGAAGGTGCTGATCTCGCGACCACAAAGGGGCCTCATGTGAGTGCTGTGACCGACGACAAGCTCAGGCCAGGCTCGGCGGCTGGAGAGGCACCAAAGGTCGAGTCGGACACGCCAACGGGCAAGGCACCGCCCACGCAGACGTCGTCGCCGGTCAAGGAAGCCGAGCCAGCAGCGGCCATTGCCCAACTCGATCACCTCAATGTCCCTTCGGCAACGGAGCCGGTGGTCCAGGACGTGGTCAAGATCGTCAACGACATCATCACAGTCATCAACGCTGACAACACCCACAATGGTCGCTACAACTCGGCGCTCGACAAGGCCAAGTCTGAGCTTGCCAAGGTTGTCGCCGACATCAACGCCTTGAAGGAGGGCCTTCAAAAGAGCGCCGAAGAGAAGATCAAGGCTGCTCATAATGAGTTCGAGGCAGCCGCCAAGGAGCTTGTCCAGCGATTAGATCACCAGATGCAAGAGCAGGAGACCCATTGGAAGGAGGAATACGAGAACGAGCGTGAGCGTCTCTCCAAGACCTACCACGAGAAGATTCAGGCCGAGCTTGAAGCCGCTCACAAGGTGTATGAGCAGAAGCTGAAGAACCAACTTCTCGAGCAAAGCATCCAGCTACAAAAGAACTTCACTGCCAACGTCCGCGAACGCGTCGAAGCAGAACGTGACGGTCGCCTCGGCAAGCTGAATGAACTCTCCTCGTCAGTGCACGAGCTTGAGAAGCTGACTGCAGAGTGGAACCAAGTCGTGGACGCCAATCTCAAGACACAGCATCTTGTTGTGGCTGTGGAAGCCGTCAAGTCTGCGCTCGAAACACAACTCACACCCAAGCCTTTTGTCATGGAACTTGCCGCACTCAAGGAGATTGGCGCAGATGACCCCGTTGTCAGCGCCGCCATAGCCAGTATCAACCCCGCTGCTTACCAGCGCGGCATCCCCAGCTCTGCCCTTTTAATTGACCGCTTCCGCCGTGTTGCGGCAGAGGTGAGGAAAGCTGCACTGCTCCCGGAGGATGCAGGCGTGGCTTCGCACCTTGCCTCTCTCGCTATGTCTAAGGTTCTCTTCAAAAAATCCGGATTGGCGGTTGGCGGTGATGTCGAGGCTGTACTTGCACGGACAGAGATACTTCTTGAAGAGGGGGATCTTGACGCCGCAGCACGTGAGATGAATGGTTTGCAAGGATGGGCAAAGGTGTTAAGCAAGGATTGGCTGAGTGAGTGCAGGAGGGTATTAGAGGTCAGGCAGGCATTGGATGTCATCGCTACGGAGGCGAGATTGAATAGCCTGCTCATTGATTGAGTGATGCAACGTTTTTGTCTGATGGACACGATGCAGGCAGGTAGGCAGACAGGCATGCGGGCATCATAAGTATAATTTCTCGAGTTCATTCGACCCTCTTCTTCCTATTATGTGTGAATAGTAGCAGTTCAGTAGTGTGTATCGTATCTGTACCTGCATCTGATGGGATTCATTGCTTCACGTCTGTCTGAATGCTTCTTGACTACAGATATGATCTTGCCTATCACTTGCGATAACATCATTGCTTGAGCCCGCTTTGCTTTGGCGGCTTGGTGGCCAAGTAAATGCTTCTCATTCCACTGAAGCTTCCTATTCCAACTCCATTCCTAGAATCGTGAATCAATCGTGAACAAGAGCAACTCGAATAGTTAGGTAATGCCGGATGGATGCAACTTATAGAGTGATTCTACTATATTTTATTTCTAAATAATCATTTCATGACACAAGTCCGTCCAGCCATTGCAGAGTGGAGTCTAATCCTGTGCCACAATCGTAGTAGTGTCTAACGAATTCAGCCTTCACCAGTGACCCTTGGCACCTGCTTGCTTGAGTAACTTCGGGAAATCAGGAGTACCAAACCCAGTTACAGGGTCCCAGCCCTCTGTGGCTGGGAAGCCTTGAACATTACATCCGTGGCTGAAGCCCTTGGTGATGTCAGTCAGACCTTTGTAGCCCTTCTTGTAGAGCCACGGATTTAAGAATCCCAGAGTTGGCTTTCCGGAAGCAAGAAGAGCGTCGTTGACGAGAGAGAAGATGCCTGCTGTGAGGGGACTGGAAGCTGATGTTCCACTGATGGTACCTACGATTGAGTGTTAGCACACATTGCGTTGCAAGAAAAAGAAAGCAGCATGATATCAATGTGAGTCTGTGGGATGTATTTCTTACCCTCAGTTCCGTTCCAGAAGTAGGCAAAGTACAACCCTTGAGCAGCGAGATCAGGGTATCCACGACCCTCCTTGTTGTAAAGACCTTGATACTGATCGCCAAGAGCCTTGATGTACTTTGGCACAGCCTTGTCCTGGTAGCTTGGACGGTCAAAGTAATAGGAGAAGCCACTGCCACTAGCATAAAGGTCACGAAATCCAGCGCTCGTGTTCCTCGATGGCCGGTACGCAGACTCCTCGGGCTCGAAGTTCATGGTGGCGCCGACGGTAGTAACGTATGGGCATGAGGCGGGGAATGAAGGGGAGAATTGGTACGTTTTCTTGCCGTCATTCGTAAAAATGTGTCTGTGGCGCCGAGACCGGAGTCACCGGAAGAAAAGAAAAGGGTAGTTCCGCGGGCGCCGACTTGTGCGAACTGTTTGCATACACGTTCAGCATAGGAACGGGGAACGGTCTGCTCAGAGTCGCCGTAGGAGGTGGAGATGACCTGGGGGATGGAGCGTTGATTAAGAAGCCAATTTACCCATACAAGGTATGGCTCGTTGGTATTGGTGGGCGTAGAGATATCGGGGGTGAATGGAGGTGAGCCTCCTGTTGAGTAGCTTGTAATCGGGGTATCCCAGCTGATCCCAGCGATGGCTTGAACGTCAAGATTAGCCTCACGGGAAATTCCAGCAACACTGGACTGGTTGTAGGTCAAAGGGCCATCTTGTATGGGTCCGTTGTCAATGGATGTTTGCTTGAAGGCGTAAGCCTGGGAAGAAGCCTCGGGACGGTACTTATCGAGGAAGAGCTTGGTATCTGGGCGAATGGGGATCTCGCCAAGGTAGTTGGTGAATCCAACCTTGTTTTCGTCGCTCGCCTGAGTATTGTACCACTTAGTGGAGTAGAGAGTTTGGAAGCATTCCGGTGTGACAGAGGTCACGTTACATACGGCTGCGATGGAGCTATTCTTCGGTGTGGTGTAGCTCGATGGCACTTCAACAGATTCACTGACCCACGTCGCTGCTTGCTTGGTCACATGAAAGAACGAGGTGGTTGGCTGAATAGCATCGATATGATTGTGTAAATGACGTGGGAGAGACCAGGATGTTGTGCGTGCAACAATGGTACCATCGCTGTGCTTGTAGTTGTGGTACTCAGCGTCAATGAGGTCCTCTACAGCTTCAATGGGAAGATGGACAATGACCCAGTCTCTGGCTGAGCTGTAGGCTATCTTGGTCGTGTCGATACCGCTCTCGCGAAGCCAGTCGTGCACAAGATCATGGGTCTCTGAGCTGGGTGCTACGAGTTCGTCTACCTCGTCGGCGCTGAGGTGCTGACCATATCGGGCATGGTCTGGATCCGAGACTATGCAGCCATGTCAGCCAGCTTTCCATGGAAACACAGTGACAGAGCTGTTCAAGATTTGGATCTTGTCATGGGTGCCTTCGATCCATCTTCAGGGGGGAACTGACGTCACGTGCTTGCGGAACCCCATTGCCCTTGTGGCACAGTCACTTACCTTCACGCAGATGTCGGTCAAGCTCGTCAAAATGGCCCTGCTTCAGCCCAATTTGGAGCTCGATTGTCTTGCTGCCATGGCTTCGCTCAAGTCTCTGCCAACCCTTGGGTACGTGGTGCGTTTCCTTGACAACGTATAGCGAGCGTGCAATTGGGGTCGCCAAAGCCTCGCGAGTGGCGATGGCTGCGAATAGGGCAGAGGCGAAGAAGTGCATGATGAAAAGGACTGAAGCTGGAGTTCTTCGCACGACTACTGTGTAACCAACAATGGCGTCGTGAGCCGTCTTCTTAAGCCATCTGCACGCCTGCGCTGGTCCACCACAGTCCAGCTTCACACCACCTACCGGTATCCGTTCTGACGGGATTCACACGCAACAGGAAGGTCGACAAGCAGCGGCATGCCGATCGCCTGTTTTGTAGTAAGGGCGGGATAGCAGCAGGATATCATGTCCCGGAGGCCATCGTCATTGATGAGATCTTTGGCCTTTCACAACACCGCTAGTGCTGAATCAGGCAGGTGCAAAAGGCTTCATACCATGAGGCTTCGATAAACAAGCACTTCAAGAGCCTAGGCACCGCGCTCAAGCTTCCACTTGGGGAGCTTAACCAAGTCTTGCCAGGTAGATATGGAGCACGAAAGACGTCTTTGTCAGCACACTTTTGCCGTCGACCTGGCTGGCGTTCATAGTGCTGGCGTCTGGACCTGCTCTGCTCGAGTCAGTCACAGTCATATGAGTTCTGGGATCTTCGTCGGATCCTGGACCAAATTGGTATATACTATATTGATTAGCCTAAACACTATCATGATTGTTTGTTGGCCGAGCAGTCCCTAGGCAACACTGCGAGGATTTATTCCATTGTCTACCGCAAGACAGACCTGTACGTAATTTACTCCTCGATTTCATTTCACTTGGTTTCGCAACCAAAATTCGTCTCTATCCCGCCGCCGACGCCTTACTTGTCAAAAGTCCAATGGGTTATCTGAAACAATCCAGCGTAATGAACCGATGAACCGGGCCCGGCAGTTACAATATACAATATTCTTTGTACATGCCAACATGTAGGATTACTCAGACCCATTCGAAGTTGCAACGTCAGGATTGGGGTAATACCAAGCAGCGACTGCAACAATCACGTACACGATCTACTCGTATTAGCACAAACTCGATTGGGCACATGATGGTGTACTTACGACCAGCAGAGCGCCCTCGAGATAGTTGGATTCGCCATCCCTCAGAAAATTGCCAACAACTACGATCGAAAGCACTAAGAGCACAATCATAAAGATCTCGAAGTTAAGATCCATATCCTTGCCCATGATCCATCCCACAACGACAACCAACGGTGCATTGAAGAGTGCTGTCTGGATGGACGGGCCAATGCAGTGAAATAAGGCAAAGTTGATCTGGCCGTCCCACGCCTCGTCAATGGCCGTCAGATGCTCGGCAGCCTTTTCGACAAACGGCAGCATGATGAGACCAAGGAATTGATCTGGGATACCAGCTTCAACAACATCTTCGATGCGCTCAACGAGGAAAACAGCGAGGAGAGTGACGATAGCGAGAGAAAATACAAGGGCAACTATACACTCGGTGAATGTAAACTTGGGCTTTGATACATCCTCGTGGTGGTCCAGATCGGCGTGTTCGTCGGCTTCAAGGACGGAGTCGAAGATCGAGTGGTTTGAGCGGGCGTTGTAAAAGATAAAGCTCAGCATGATCAGTGTGGCTTCCAATCAAATGGAATCTGAGGACTTACATGCAGAAAGAGATCATCAGCAGAATAGACGTGATCTGACTGATCCTGAGAACGTTGTGGTTCAGAATTTCATCTGTGAACTCATGATGCTTCGAGGCCGCTCGAACAGCCTGTCCTTTGAGTGCGGAATAGTATGCACTCGGGATCAACAGTCCGAACCCAGCGACGAGAAGCAAACCGCTTCCAACTTCGCTAACAGATGCGTGGAACTTCTGGCTAGCTTGACGAAGGCCACCGACAAAGAAGCAAAGCCCCAAGCATAGTAAAAGGTTGGTCAGAATCGACCCCAAAATGGCGGCCTGAATCACAGGGATGAGATTGCCATGTTCAGAGGACCCATCTCCAGAGTGATGCTTCGTGATGAGGATAATGAAAAGAATGATCTCGACAATGGATCCAAATGCCGTTTCAATCAAGATCCCAGATACCTTTGGCATCTTTCTTGCGAATTCCTGGCCAGCGAACCCCAGCAAGTTAGCCACCGGTATCATGGCAATGTAGCTGGTTGCGAAGATTGCGATAGGGAGCCCAGGTGTCACAAAATGTAGGACAATGGCAACGATGACGAAAGGCCAGAGGATATTAACATATTTCGCTGCATTGCTGCCAGACCGCCATGAGACGTGCAAGAAGTGGGATGCATGAAATCCAGAACGACCGCTCTCGCCGTCGGGATGGATGTGTTGAGGGATGATGCTGTGCAGCAAGGGTGTAGACTCGGGGTTGTGGTGATTCGAGGGCATTATGGTCTGAATGAGGTCTCTAGAGACCTAGATCAAGAGTGGGGTCGAGTATGAGCACTCTGAATGCTCGAAGACGCTTCGTAGAGTCGTTGGCAACAGTTGAAGTGACACAGATTTCTTTCGCGGGAATGCGGGTCGGCTTAACTGCGGCTGCCCAGCCCGCAGCCCCCTCAAATAGCCCGGGGGTATCATGTGCCCGTACGTTGCTTGGCTGCACATCTGCCTCAGGGGTTGTCACGTTTGCCAGGAAACTGATATCAACGTTAAGAATAATTGTATGCAAGCGCCACAGTACTGGTAGAGTGTGTTCAAACAAATTACGACCGGTTTCACTCGACGATGGAATGAACAGATATATAAGGTACCTATAGTAGTAAGGTATGTTTATCTCTTTCGATATCCATCGTTGTGAGAAGCACCAGGATCAATGAGATCGTCTTCTGGCTCGAGCTCCTTTGACTTCGAACTTGCTTTCTAACGGTAGTCTCAGTGTGAGAGTCGATGATGGCCTGTTGCCTTGTAGTGGGACTCCGGATTCCATTTCACGTCGCGGTGTAAATGAACCCTTCTGCAGGACTGAAACGGAGGCTCTGTGGTCATGATTCTACGTACGTTGTACGCGCATCACTTCCAATAGTTTGCGCACAGTTTTTTTACGGACCCAGAAGTACTTTACCGTGTTCTCCCCTAAGATAACATGTCGATCCAAGATTCAAAACATCAACCTTACCACAACGAACCGATGATGTCTCCTACCATTAACCTATTGTCTCCTGGCATTGATCCTGCGCTGAGCATTTCCAACACTCTTCTACAGGATCTCGAATGTGCCATCTGTCATGAGCTCTTAAGTATCTCGCCCTATTTGGCTACCACGGATAGTGCCGTCGATTCGCGCGTTGCTACGCTGAAAGCTCACGGTAATGTCCACTACGTGCATCATGCATGCATCATGGCCTCGATCAACGTAAACATGGCATCAACAAATACCTTCCCTGTAGATCCTAAAACTTGTCACGACCAGCATCTAATCGATCGACCTCGTATCACCGCCAGCCAGGCATTTGACCTGGTCAACTGTGCCCTTCCCGCTCAAGAGGATGGCCGTGTTACAAACCGGCTATCGGAAGGTGAGGACAATCTGGAACATGTAGCAGGCAGCTCAAGCGAAATCAGAACTGCCAATAACTGCAAGGACTTCACAGATTCATCGCTTGTTCATCCCGCTCAAGTCTTTTCTGGCAAACATCTCAATACGAAATTTATCGATTTCCAGCATCGCGAGGATAAACATACACCTCATGGTACTGCGCAGAAAGTCCAGGATAATGAACATAACATAGCAGATCCATCCGAAAACTTTATGCATGGTCGTCCTTGGGAATTGGTTCCAGATCCATTGCCTATCGATGGACACGTGGAACTACCCGAGGATGATGACGACGGTGGCACTTTTGAGTGGATCGAATAGGATCTGGACCAGTCGTATGAGAATCCTGGAAGAACTTCAACTCTAATTCTTGATAACGCACATCGTGCAATCTAAATTCCTGTTCACAGTGTCTCTCCAGATGATAGCGCTGTTGGAACGTATTCCGTTCTGCAGTAGGTCAACCATCTTACAAAATGAGATTCAAATTACTTTTATGATGGTAGGTTCATTGTGGGTTCATCAGAAATCTGTTGGGAATTCATTTTTTTGTAAAATCTTCTCCCTCTGATCGTTTTCACAGATTTTTCTTCTCTATCCAACAGTGTACGGTGGTTTATTCAAAATAAAAACAACTGGACGTGCAGTAACTCACCTATGTTCACTGTGGCCATGGACTCGACTCAACAGATACGCCCACTGCTCCACAACTATAGCAATGATTTTAGTAAGATTTATAAGGTGATGCTGTCACAATCTTCGTAAATTAACCTACTGCTGCTGGTTTGGAATCGCCAGAAGAGCCTCATTTCTGTCTTCTTTAGTAGTGTAATCTGAACAATGCCACGGAGTATTGGGCAAATACCAAAATGCAGTGCTCTTTGCGAATTATGATCCGAAGTCTTAGGGATGGACACACCATTCATGAGCATAACATAATGGTCATGACCCATAACCAATCATCCTTGAAGCCAAGTCTTCCAACCATCACAATGATAATAGTTTATCCATACTGTGGTTGTTGACCATAGAGTGCTTTGTTCTGTGCATTGTCTGTCACCATAATAATCAAGACGTTGTGTAGTATGCACAAAGTTCACTGTTGTTCTTTGTTCAACATCGTCTGCGTTCCCTAAAGAATTCACCATCGTTATATTTCCCATCGATGGTTACTTAGTTCTTTAACAAGCCTTTGAAAGTGTGCCACATATCTTGCCAGCATCTTTGAAGACAGTCTTTTTATCACGATTTAACACAACCTGTTGCCTCCTTGCATCACCGCACCTACCTTAATTTGACACAATGGCAGCTTCGCTTGCCGAATATGTTAAGGTGCGCAGTAAGAAGACTGGGACGATTGAAGTTCGCCGCGCAAACGAGCTTTCCAGACATTCCAAGACACCAGCCCGGGAACATGTCCTCCACTATATCGGCGTCGAGCGTTTACAGGTATGCCGATGCACAACACCGAGCGAGCATTTCGAGAAGACAATTCAGGTAGCTGCAGAATCAACGCATCTCAATGCTGGATTGATGATGTACCTCACCCGTCATGGCCTCGAAACATGTAGCATCACTGCATTCCGAAATTATTCGGAGAACCGCGAGGCGATGTGGCGTGAACAAGGTGTAAATATTGACACATTTCACTACATGAGTCATTCCAAGAATCAAGTCTGTCGCTGCTTGAGACCGAATAAGCATAATGGGGGTGCGCCTCGTAATCCCGAGATTATCGAGCAATGCGCCGAATTTTTCATCTTGCACCAGGACAAAACTGTTTGTACGAGAAGCGAATGGCGAGGTATCGAGGGTGATTCACCACCGGTGTACTTCCCTCCAGGGCTGTCACCTGTTTGTCCTACACCAGTCCATTCACACAGTCTGCACAAGCCATCATACTCATCTGATCCTCAACAACCCGTTCTCATCACGTACAACTCACAAACTACTCAGGAACTTCTGGACGACTGGACTGTGCGCAAAGTAACAACACCCGAGATAGAGTTTCAGAGCACGGGGAACCCTCTCATTCCCCTCTACACGCAAGATTCTTCTAGTGGAATATTCCGCAAATCTGATATTCCTGCAAAGGTATGGGAGTCCGCTCGCCCGTCTGCTTGCGTTTCTCCACATTGCTCCGAATCAGTTGTAAGTACTCCAATGGGCACTACGATTTCGCAGCTTCCTATTCTATTGACTCCAGCAACTCGATTCTACGAATCTGGATCTACCAAACATGCGCAGCGTAATTCGCTGACCACTTATCGGTCAAAATTCCAGTATGATGCTTCGAATACGCTATGCGCAAGACCTGTCCTTGTCGCAGAAAGCTCCATCAGTCAGCCTAGTGATCACACAGTCAAGTCCGAATGTGAACACATAAAGTGGGAAGGTATGGGCTTAAGAGACGATTCAGCTGGTTTGTGTATATCATACTCTCAGGATGATAAGCTGGAGAGTCATCTGCAAGAGTCTGGTCCCATCTACCCTGACTCAAACCAGTGTGCCACCTCGATAGCGGAACTGCCAGATCAGATCGCTGTTGTTAAGCTTGATGCTGACTTTCATCATCACTATCCGCCTTATAGATGCTTCAACACGCATCTCGAATTGCTAGGTGAGCAATCATCTCTCAATGCCAGCTCGAAATCTTCAAACATGGCGCATTCCACGAAAGATTCTCCTCTGTTGTCGCCACTACCACAACATGTTCATAATATCCTTCGTCTGCCTAACCAAGAGGAGTTGCTACTACGCCACGCGGTTGTGTCCTCTGGGGCTGGTTTACCTCCAGCTGGTGACTGCACTGTATGCGGAAATATGTATGAGAACCACCAAAAGCGTATCATCGTGCCATGCAAGTGCGAGCATTCTATCCATGAAGACTGTCTCGTCGAAAGCTTTCGTAGCCGTGATCAGCGAATTGGTACATGTCCAGTCTGTAGTCTTGGAATTTGCGAGCGCACGCTTGCAGATCGCATTCATACTGACCGCCTTGCTATTTTCGGCTCGCAATTTACTAGGCTGCGGAACCAAGTAGACATCACATTTCCACAACACAACGAGGTCGTTACATGCAATTCCGAAGAAGAAGTTGCCGCCGCACAGCTCCGCCTCATTAAGGACTATGTTGACGTTCACTCGGAGGAAATTTTTCGAATTTGGGAGCTCAATCGCGCGGAGCCAGACTGGTTCATGGGCATCGTTCGACCTGTTGTCAAACTATTTCAAGCCTGGGACGTTCCAAATCGACAAAGCCGGTACTTCGTTGACAAAGAATCTTTCCTGAAGTTACTTGCTTGGGCCGAACTTGTGCGCTTGATGAGCAATGGGCGCAGACCATCGGCCATGACCGAGGGTGAGGACGCCATATACCCACAGCTTTCTGAGCTACATCGCAAGTTCGAGATGGCTCTTACTAGATACGACCAAGAGAAAATCTTGTGGGGAGAGGATGAAGGGCGTATTCCGGACTGCGACCGTGTAGCACAAGACCTTGTAGATCTTGCCATGCGCATCAAGTCCGCGTAGTTAGTTATCAAACCTTCGCGAAACACTATGATATTTATTTGTCTTCAACGCCATTTCAACCATTCCGTTATTCCTTTCTATTATTCATCATCATCGGCTCTCTTAAGCTTACGTAGATACGACTGCTTCATGCTAAGTTCGTGCCACTTATGCCGGATGTGGGGCTTGATAATTAGAGCACATGATGTAGATATATGTGTATGGGTGACGTATCTGCCTTCATGAGAATCACGATTGGGTGGAAGTGACGAAGCTTCGTCGGGGCAATTCATGTGATTGTAGCTAGTGGCATTTACTGTCCTGGAATCATTTGTCGTTCAATACAATAACTTGCTTCTTATTGTGATGGCCAGGCCAGCTCCAATAGCTGCAGACAGGTTCAATCATGTTTAAATAGCAGGGCCTTCTATTCAGCAATATTTACACCTTCTCAATACTTTCCGCCTGGTTGAAAAGAAGCACATGTGATCAGCTTCTTAAAAGTTTCCCCAGAACTATGCTCAAAGTGCCACTCAAACAGCCGCACGGCGTTGGCTGGTCTCTCAATTATACGATCACGTCCTTGCAACCGCTAATTTTATGTGCTCACCATCCCTTTTCCACCTAGATGGCCACCCGCACCAGCTTGATGATGATGGCGATATATTCTGCCGCACACCTTCTAGTGATAAGTATGAGATGTGCAGCAGTTTTTAGGTTCCGAAATTCAGGACCATGTGTTTCTGTAGTGACCCAGCCATTTTTATGTGTCTTCAGATTTTATGGTTTTGAATAACCAATCTAATTCATTTCCACATCACGTTACTATCACGGTCGTTCGTTGTTGTGATTGATACGATGAGCGACTACTCCATTTACTCGATTCCAGTGTTCCTCCGGATGTCATCATGATACAACTAAGTCGTGGGAATAGGATCATGTGTCGCAGTAAAATTAAGCTGCCTGCTACTTTGCCTGCGCAAACCTTAATTTATCGTTTGCTGTATGCGCATAGTATTAGTAGTAGCAGGGATTTCCTTTGATTCGCTGCTGCACGACTTTGGGTAGTGAATGCTGGCTGCACTTCGTACTATTCATGGACATTTTTTGGATGCGTCGTTGGACCAAGCCACGAGGTATCTCTACTATGAAATGATTGAGGTGAAACTAATACATTAAATCTATCTCTGGGACAGACGGCCGTAATAACGTCATTAGCAGTATTTGGTATAGAGAATGACAACGCTGAACCTACATAGAAACTCCCTTTCTTATCTCAATACTGGTTGATCATTATGGATATCCATTAGGATTCAGGGATCAGGGGATCAATGCTGATACTGGATCATTTCCGCTATCACAGCCTGTGTTCTCTAGATAGCTGTTCTTTCTTCTGAGAAGCAACATAGATAGGGTGTTGAATGATTGTTCAGATAGAATCCGAAATTTCTTCCATCGACGCGAACGGAGAGTATTAGTAAAAGAAGCAGAGTTATGTCTTCCCAATCATATATTCAGTGGCCATTTGCAAGTGGATTCTGCGAGGCCTTTTGGCTTTCACTGTCCGTGCGTTGTGACCAGTCGCTATTGTCAACAAACGTGGTTCAGGTCTACAATAGCTGTGGAGGTACCCTCATATCAGCATCATACATATTTAGTCGTTGAAATCTGCCCGCCTCTTTTCTCTTGTCCTCCTGCACGATCCACTCCAGTTCTCAACGACCTCAACTTAAGCAAATCAACATAAAGCTCCACTGATTATTCGTCTGTCATAACATACTTTAATAAAAATGAATTCCACAGAATCTACCACCGTCGCATGTGCAGTCGCTTCTCTTGCGGCACCATTGCCACGACGCCAAGAGGCTTCTTTAGCTGCCACTGAACTCGCCTGTGATGTTTCCAATCCCATTGAAAGCCTTCGACTCGCAGAGTTGTCAACAATCAAGCCAATCAAGCTGGGTACCCCAGCTTGGATTGG